ATCTATATCTATACCTATATCTGTATCTATATCTATATCTATATCTATATCTATATCTATGTCTATATCAGTGGTTCTCAACCTTCCTCAGGCCGCGACCCCTGAATACAGCTCCTCACGCTGTGGGGACCCCCGACCATAACGTTATTCTCGTGGCTCCGTCATCGCCGTCATGTGGCTGCTGTGACGCATCGTCATGGAAACATCTGATCTGCAGGATGGATTCTCATGGTGACACATCGAACATCACGAACGCACAGTGATCAATCACAAAATCAATATGTGATGATCGATGTGTTTTCCGAGGGTCTGAGGCGACCCCTGGGAAAGGGGCCGCGACCCACAGGTTGAGAACCGCCGTCTTAGAGCGTTATTCATCTTCAAGCATTTTTTTATCTTTTTTTAAAATTTTTTTTTCTTTCCCATGAATTTATTATCAATTCTGTGAACGCGGGCGGGTGCCCTGTGGTCGGCTCTCCGTGGTTTGATAGCCCGTCAGATTAACGGGAGGCGTATGCAGGGGAGAGACGTGTAGATGAATCGATTTCGAACACACAAGACTCAGGGGGGTGGGGGTGGGGGTTGTGGGGAGCAGATAAGGGCCTCAAATTTCCACGTGTGGACGGAGATGACTCCAATTTTCCCAGCACCAGCTCATTCATGGATTACGGGGGCTTACGCTATTTTATTCACTATTTTCTTTTTTAAAATATATTTTATTGATTTTTTACAGAGAGGAGGGGAGAGGGATAGAGAGTTAGAAACATCGATGGAAGAGAAACATCGATCAGCCGCCTCCTGCACGCCCCCCACTGGGGATGTGCCCGCAACCCAGGTCCATGCCCTTGACCGGGATTCGAACCCGGGACCCTTCAGTCTGCAGGCCGACGCCCTATCCACTGAGCCACACCACCCTGGGCGGTGGATCCCTTTTCTTTGGGCATTGTGAAGCCGATAGTTCCCGCAGGGAGAGAATGGTGGGTTATTGTACCTCCTTCCTCCCCTCTGCGGTTGAGTAAATATCTTCTAGTAGAAATGAGGCGTGTTAATAAAACATGTCAAGAATGAGTTTTAAACCCCGGCCGGTGTGGCTCAGTGGATAGAGCGTCGGCCTGTGGACTGAAGGGTCCCGGGTTCGATTCCCGGTCAAGGCCACAGGCCCGGGTTTTGGGCTCCATCCCCAGTAGGGGGCGTGCAGGAGGCGGCCGACGCATGATTCTCATCTTTGATGTTTCTCTCTCTCCTTCTGCCTTCCCATCTGACATCAATAGAAATATTTAAAAAATAAGTAAATAAGAAGATATTAAAAATAACAATTTTAAAAAAAATCGCTGGAAAAATATCCTTGGGTGAGGATTAGCTAAATAGCTACATCCTAGAGGCCCGGTGCACGAAATCCGTGCACGGCTAGGGTCCCTCGGCCTGGCTGGCGATCAGGGCCGATCGGGGGGGCAACTGGCGGGGCGATCGGGGCCCCCTACTCACTCACCAGCCGCTGCTCAGGGCCTGAGGGTTGGGGGAGCTCCTGGGTTGAGCGTCTGCCCCCCTGGTGGTCAGTGCACGTCATAGCGACCGGTCATTCCGCCATTCGGTCAATTTGCATATTCGGGTTTTATTATCGGGGATATGTATTATTTCCAAATACATTCTACGGCTAAATGGCCGTCTTTTTTTTTTTTTTTTTGAAAAAAAAAAAACACCCAAAACCCATAGATTTAGGGAGAGAAACGACACTGAATGCCCCAACTACGTCCTTCAGAACGGACGCCGGTCCGGCTGTCTCCTGGTGGCCGAAGACGATACGATTCTCAACTTCTCCATCTGGAATGGGACCCAGTGCCTCAAGTCCCGGAGCCCATGGATCGCCGATTACTGTAAGTGCCACCCAGAGGGAAAGCATTGCCCATTCTCCGCCCCCAATCGAGGCCCCCCCCCCGTACTCACCCCGACAACAAAGCCGCCAGCCTTCCGGAATGTTCCACGGCCAGAAAAAAACGCAAGCAACTCCGAGGGAGATGGCCGAGGGCGCTGTGCAGGGGGCTATGGGAGAGGGTTGGCTGCCTCCTGCACGCCTCCTACTGGGGAGGGAGCCCGGCCGGTGTGGCTCAGGGGTTGAGCGTCGACCTAGGAACCAGGAGGTCCCGGGTTCGATTCCCGGCCAAGGAAACAAACACAATCACAGAAACCACAGTCTGAAACACGGCACTTCGATGATTTGCCTTATTATAGTGTCCAAGCATCTGCTTCCAATTAGTATTATTAACAGTGTCGATATGCAGTATTCCTCATTTGAGTTCATTTAAGAAACGCTTTTTAAAAAGCTAGATTAGTAAGACACAGGAATCATAGTTAATACAACTCAATGGAATCTGTAACTTTAAAACTGTGTTCTTTCAGTTCACAAGGGAACGGTGGAATGGTCAAATCTTCCCTTTGCCACGTTTTTTTAAACTAGGAATAGTGCATTTTCAATGGGTTTGTATAAACAAGTCTTACATAAATGTGATTGTGCTTCAAAGCTGTACAACAGCTCAGGGTATAAGATATGCTAGAAGCTTTGTGCTAAGTAAGGCGAATAAAAGCATTAATACCTTCTTACAGAGAGCTCGCAGCTTGAAAGCAGAAAAATGAATGCAGAGTGTTCATAAACGATATGAACCAGAAGGTCCTGGGTTCGATTCCCGGTCAAGGGCACATGCCCGGGTTGTGGGCTCGATCCCCAGTAGGGAGCGTGCAGGAGGCGGCCGATCCATGATTCTCTCTCATCATGGATGTTTCTCTCTCTCTCCATCTTCCTTCTTCTCTGAAATCAATAAAAATATATTAAAAAATAAGAATAAAGGCGGAATTAGCTCAGGCCCAAGAAGGTGATTCTGAGCAAACTGACCGCGGTCACTGTGGGGACGTGGGGTGCCCCTCTTTGAACGGGTGCCCACCCCTGTGTCGTCTCCCCTCCTCAGTGAAACCCAGCTCGCCGAGGGGTCTGCGTGTCCTGTGGCGTGAGGAAGCCGTGACGGTGGCGTGTCCCGACCTGCCCCAGAAGGGCCTCATGTACGAGGTTCAGTACAAGAGCTCCTTGGACGGGGAGTGGCAGGTGAGTGGGGGAGGGGGGCATCTTCTTGGGGCCCCTGTGATGGAACGTCCCCAAGATGCTAGCTCTGAAGACACATGGAGATAGATGGATAGATAGATAGATAGATAGATAGATAGATAGATGATGGATAGATAGATAGATAGATAGATAGATGATAGATAGATAGATAGATGATAGATTTATAAATAGATAGATGATGGATAGATAGATAGGTGATAGATAGATACATAGATGATAGATAGATAAATAGGTAGATAGATTATAGATAGATACATAGATAGATGATAGATAGATAAATAGATAGATGATACATAGATACATGATAG